TCTGTGAGTCAGAGAGCAGAGGTCGTTTGCCAGAGAGTATATAAGGGATGACAACCAGGAAAAGGATATAGGTGCTTCTGGGACAAGGACAGCTTGGAAAGTATGTATGGCATGGCTTTGCTTCGGTTGTGGTACAGAGCTATGGAAATTGCTTGTGGCTGAAGCGGTGGTGCTGGGGAAGGGGTAGAGACAAAGGTGAGGTTTTCTACCTGGAAAACTACTTTAGAGCTAGACCGTGACATGCTGGATGCTGCTGATGGGCATCTCGACAGAAGTGGGCAGCAGGGGCAGAGGACAGCAGCTTTTTGCACTGTATTGTTCATTTGTGTGTATATACATGGGCCTATAAATGCTGGTTTGTGACCTTGGTTATGGGTGCAATGTGGCTGCATGCTCCTCAGAATCCTTTTTTTCTTGTCACTTGTTGCAACACAGCTGGCGATGCCATGGGGCTGTAGAACTGGGGGCATCGTGGATGATAACGTTGGGTGTGCTTGGCCTGGGCCATCTCTTGGGAGGTGATTGTGTGCCAGAGGCTTCTCCAGGCTGCTGCCTGCTCTGCTCTGCAGCTTCCATCTGTGCAGGGATGTGGTGTGCTCGTACTTGGGGAGGGGAAGGGGAAGCTCGTGGTCAGCCCTGCCTGCAAAGGGCACAGTGTGTGTGTGAGCACCACTTGGCTGCGTTTTTATGAGGTGCTACTATTGATCATGTTATCTGGTGGTGCAGGAGCAGCAGGGGAGGCTCATGGGGTCCTGCCCCTAAAATTTCTCCTTCTGCTGCTCCTGTGCACGTTTCTCCCTGTGGTCATGCCTGCTGCTGGACATCCCTGTCCCTGTGTGGGATCCCTGTGCTGTCCCTCCCTGATGACCCCACTGCACACTGTCCGTGATCTGTCTCCTCCTCTGCCCCTCCTGGTTCCTGATCCTTAAATTGTCATGTGTCAATGTTCCTCGAAGGGGTTGCTGTTTTGGTGTGCCAGGAGGTGTTACATTGCCTGCAGAAGTGGTGGGAATTACCTGGGATCTCGTGCAAGAACAAGCAGGGCCAGCTGGCCAGGGCAGGGCCAGGAGGTGTCTGGTGAGGGATGGTGGGTGCAGTGGCCCCTGCTGCACCCACGGTTGCTGGGGTTGCCTGAGCTTGCTCCAAAGGTCACTCCTTGCAAGCAGTGGGGTGACTTGCCCCAGAGAGGGCACAACAGCATTTTTACAGCTCGACAGCCTTGTTCAGTAGCAGGAAACAGCCTGATCTTTAACCCCTGGTGGGATAGTCACTGAGACGCTCCCACCAGCTGTCGCTTTGCCCTTTCCAGGCCACTCATCACCAAATAGGAGCAGGTGCCAGTGTCTCAGGTAGGAACAGCCCAGCCACACTTCCACTGCCTGCAGAAAGCTGCAAAAAGTCAGAGGCAAACCACGTGGAGACTTTTTTCCAGCTTTCTTCCCTCTTATAGCATAATTCAATAATTTTTTTCCTCTTCCTTTAACTGCCAGGAACAAGTGTTCACCCTCCAGCATCAGGCTGTATCTGACAGCAGGGATGTGTCTGGGACAGTCTATAAATGGTGGGGAGCCACAGGAGCTGCTGGCAGAGCCATCAACCCCTTTGCCACCTAGTGGCAATAGTCAGTAAAAATGCAATGCCACAGCCTATGTCTCTCTGATGTGGGTACCATGTACTCAATGGCATCATCTGAGTGCTGGGCACAGTAAAATGTTTGTTCCACCATATTTCTGGTGTTTAATACTTAACTTCTGTGTAAATGTGCAACTCTGATATGAAAACAATCCCATTTCCCCTTATAGCGTTTTAACAGAATTTACAGAATTTGACAGAATTTAATGCCGTCATCCTTTTCTTCAAAACTTAAATGCTTCTGCTGTTTTTCTTTCTGCTCCTCCCAGCATCCTGAGGCTCAGGCACTCCCTTGTCACACAGGGGTAGGGCAGGGAGTGCTGCTTGGTGGGCACCCCCACCCATCACCCAGAGAGGGAGTGCTGCCTGTGCAAGCAGGACAAACGTGCCAAAGGCGAGCAGGGGCAAGCAGGACCTGAGCTGCCTGGAGATGCTTTGTTAAACACCCGCAGTGACCATCGCAGAAATGCCTGCCTGCTGTGCGAGGATGCGGCCGCTGGACAGGACCTCCCTGAGGTGCTGCCTTGGGACTCTTCCCAGGCAAGAAGCGGCAGCTCGCAGTTACAGGGTCCAAAGCTCAGGCTGTTTTCTCCCTGATAGTTTCTTTGCTGAGGATGTATGGTGTGTGCTGGGAGTGGGAGAAAGCTCTCGGAGCTGTAAGATATGGGAGCCTATGCACCCCAGCCCCGTGCTGCTTAGCAGAGTGGAGCTGAGCTTGGGCATAGGGCAGGGGGTGTGTCTGCATGGGACTTCCTGTGGGAGTATCCTCTATATGTTTTTTCAAATTAAAGCTCCAAAGTCAAAGTGAGAATGGCAGAAGGTGGTGCTGCTCCGCCCTTGCAGGGGTAGCAGGGAGGGAAGGTGGAAGTGGAGTTGTTACATGGGTCAGGTGAGCTTGGGGATGGTGCTGGAGACCAGGAGCTCTGCTGCTCTCAGAGGATGCAACCCTTTGCTGGGGAAGGATGGAATGGAGAGGAACTCCAGGGCCTGTGGGGACCCCAGGGGTCTGAGGAAGAGGAGGATGACAAATTGGCACAATCAATCAAGTGGAGGAGGGATAGGAACTGGTGACTGGGCTTAGAACGATGGAAAGAGACAAGGAAAACCCACTGCCTTGAAGCCCGCTAAGAAAGCAGGTGAAGAAAGAAGGGAGAGGGGGAGGCAAATAGACTGAGATGATGATGGAACAACTCCTGAGAGCCCGGGGAAGCTAGAACTAAGCTTTGGGAGACTGTGATCATAACAACAACAAAATATCCAACCCCAAACATTTTAAGCAGATAATAATGGAAGATGAACTGGAGATGAGAAGACAGGATTGAAGGTTGAAGCACTGCAGTTCTGAAGCAAAAGGACTTCTGCCCTCACAGAAGCAATTTACTTGCACAGGCAGGGGACGAGGTGCTGCTGCCTTTGGCGGGAGGCTGGTTTTGGGCAGGGCTTTGCTTCAGAGGGTGGCGGCAGCTCCTGGCAGTGCTGTGCCCCCCACTTTGTGGTGGGGGTGGCAGTACCCTGGCAGTGGAAATCCCCCTGAGACCTGTGTTGCCCTCTCTTTGAATGCAGCAGCCTGAGCAAGACACTCTCTTCAGAAACACCTGCAGCATCTTTCTCTCATGCCTTTTCTTTCCAGACCACAAACTGCCTGGAGGGACCTAACGCTGTGCAATGGACTCTCAAAATGTGGTTGTGGTCCAGCCCCAGTTTTCAAGTGCCCAAGTGCCAGGCCAGTGGCAGACTGGGCTGATGGACTGCTGCTCCGACTGCGGCGTGTGTGAGTACATATATACTCCTCAGTCCTGCTGTTGGCTCATGATGTGTTTCTGGCGTTCTCCCTGCTCCTTCTGCAGCATTACCCCTTCTGCAAACCCCACTTTTGTGGGTACCAGCAGCAGAGAAGCTCTTGCCTGAGGTCAAGAGCCACAGCTCCCACGGCCACATTCCTGGCTGGCCTTTCCCCCTTTCCTCAGTCTTTGAACCCCTAAGCTAAGCCCACGTCTCACTGTCCCACAGGTCTCTGCGGATACTTCTGCTTCCCCTGCCTGGGGTGCCAGGTGGCCGGGGACATGAATGAATGCTGCCTGTGCGGGCCCAGTGTGGCCATGAGGACCCTCTACCGCACCAGATACAACATCCCGGTCAGTGGGTAACCTGCCCCCTCACCCTGCTGCGAGGCTGAAAGGCGAGGTGCCCCCCAGGGAGGTGATGGATTCACTGTCCCTGGAGGTTTTTAAGATGAGACTGGATGTGGCACTTCGTGCCATGGTCTAGTAACCACGGCGATGTTGGATCAAGGGTTGGACTTGATGATCTTGGAGGTCTTTTCCAACCTGGTTGATTTGATGATTCTATGGGGGATGAGCACAGGGCAGCTTTCCCCTCACCCTTGTTTTCCCTTTCATATCCTGCATGATGCCAGAGCATGGAACAGGGGTTGGGACATCCTCAGTTGAGCTGATCCCTGGGCTGGTATCCAACAACACACATAAACTGGACACAGCTCTTCCCAGAACCCTTCACTGGAGGCACGTGTCCTGCCTTCAGCTGCTGCTGACCACAGTGGCTTGCAGAGCCTGGGCTGCTGCTTCCTCCTTTGATCTTTGAAAGATGGGCGAGATTTGAGATAATGGTGGGCAGATTAAAGAATAGATGAAGTTGGTTATACAGGTAAGGATCTGTAATCAGATTTGGGAGAAAGGTGGACAGTAGATATGTGAAGGGTTTACATCCTGCAGGGGGTGGACTGGTGCCATCCCAAGTGCAAATCACAGGGGCCCAAGTTCACATTGCCCAAATTGTCTCTTTCTGTGTGCGTTTTTCTCCCCAGTCTGAACCTCAGAAGCCAAAGGGTAAGTAGCTATCTGCAACCTGCACAAAGGACTCTCTTCTTCCTTTCCATAGTGCCAGGGGTTCACCAGCCCTGGGCTTCAGTGTCTGCTACCCAGGATGTTGCAGCCAGCCAAGAAACAAAGGGCTCGCGACCTGGAATGGGATTAACATTTTCTTGGGTGGAACATGGCTTTTGGGAAGCCTCTGTGCCTAACTAATTTCTTCCTAACAGGGGTCCATTTGCTCTGACTTCTGTATCACCTTGTG